ACACCCGGGCCTGAGTTATACGCACTTACCTACAGAAACCGCGTAGGTAAAGTAATATACTGCCGATACAAGGCTGCACAGGAGTTTGGGTTTCAAGGTAATGTGGAAAATGGAAAGTAGAGGCCGTTGAACGGCATCATGAAGTCACTCCTGGGGACTCGGGGTCTCGGTCCGTAATGGAAACGTATCACGTGCGGTTCACCCAAGTCGTCCTCAGGTTATTTAAGATGGGTTGCGGAGCAGAAGGGCCTCGTCTGCCACTGCCAAAGGAAACGCGCCCAGTTACATTCGGCTGTAGGCAGGCATTTCAGAAGAATAATCATCGGGGGTTTGTCTTTTCTTTCTGAAGTGGACATCTGACCAAAGAAACCCAGCAGAGATAGACAGCTTGCTGTTCTACTATGCAGATCAAGGCAGCACCTTTCAGGCCTCTTTTTTTTTCTTAGATGAGATTTAAACCAGTAGCCGTAAGCTGCTAAGTACCGTATTTCCTGCAGGCCGCTTCCCATATACTTAATTTTGAATTTTTTTTAACTCCGGAGTTTCAAGCCTTTGTCACATCTAAGTTCCTACCTGTTTAGCACTACGCTTCTGTCAGAGGTTGCTGTGCCCACAACAGACCAAGTTAAACAAAACGTGTGCCTGAACAAGACCGACTTCAGTGCAAAGTCTGGTGGTCTTGCTGCCAACTCTGCTGTACAAGCAGGAATCTCCAGGAGGTTCTAAAGAAAAGTGCTGTCAGTACTGACTTTGTAACCTGGCACAATTCGTTTACTAGATCCTACCCGTCAACCCTTTTAGACATAGATACAACAACAAGTAATATCAAATGACTGCCAAACTTCTGAACAAACACAACAGCTACATGGTGCAGTTCTGCTGCAAACAAAGGTCCTGCTTGTTGAGAAGAAAGATACAAGTCCTTCTGATGTCAGTTTTATGGACTGACTTTTAATCTAAATCATACCATTTTGTGCAGTTCTTTGAGAAATTCCTTTACAGTAGCCAGAGATGGCAACTGTATAGCATATTATGTTACAAAGAAAATATACAAGGCTTTAACAACTGAAGAATGAGAAATCGTATGCTGTATTAAATATATTTCAGAGTTTCTTAGATAATTGTTACAATAGTCAAAATTGCTACCTGTTAAGCAGCAATGAGTTAAACACATCTGTATTTTGGTTCATCACATTATGAAAATGAGATAATTTATCAATAATAATATTTCAGCTACATAATTCAGTTCAGTACTTTCTCATAGTCCAAGAATATCCCAAGCAGGGAGCTGAGTCTGGATTCAGCTTTCATTTACAGAGAAAAGAAATGTCATTAGAAGATCTGGCTTACATCGTAAATCTAGATGGGGTTCATCTAGTAAGAATTTTTTTACAAGTCTATGCATAATTAAAATCTGCTTAATTTTTTATTTTCTCTTCACATCAAAACCAAATCTTTCACTCATAGGGCTGAAATGGTCCTCAGGCAAGTATCTTAAATACCTTTGTCCTTCTTCATAGACAGGTATCTAACCCAGTCCTAAAGGCTATCAGTAATGTTGACTGCATAACCTGTCCAGGCAATCTAGAGATTCATATGATAGGAAAGCTTTTCCTAATCTTTACAGATATCTTCTTTTCCGTAATTAATTCCTGTCTTATCCAAAAAAGATCAAGAGAATAGATTATTTCCCATCTTTCTTCAGCAGGCATATGCATATTTGAAAACAGGCACCATCTCAACTCTTAGACTTTTCCTTTTCAGGATCATACACATTAGTTCAGTCTTTCTCCTAGTTCAAATCTTCCAGACTTCGATCATCGCCATTATTCTCCTCTGGACTGTTTATAATGTAGTACTCAAAATTAAACAGAATATTGCAAGTGAGTGAAGCAGAAGGATTACTACTTCAGGTACCTTGAAGGCTGTACTCTGTTTTATACACCTCTGTATAATTTACCTTTTCTTGCACAATATTGACGTAATTCAGCCAGTGGTTCACTATGACCTAAGATTTGTTTCTGCAAAGGCTGGTACATAGCCAGATACTTCCAGCCTCTCTCTTTGCATCTGGCTGTATCTGCCCAAATGCAGTATCTTGCATTTATTCCTACAGCAACCACATCTGTCCCCACCTTAAAATATTTTAATGTAAACCACATTCCTCTAGTTTATTTACATGAAACCTGTGTGAGACCTTATCCAGAGTTTTACTAAGCTTAAGATACACAGTATCTACTTCATCTTCCTCTAGCCACAGGCCTGGTTTTGTAGATTGAAATTATACTGATTTGACTTGTTATAGGTAAGTTATTGCTGACTGCTATTAATTGGTTTGATTTCTTTTATGTGCTTACCAAAACTTGTTGATTATTTATTCCAGCATTTTTTTCCCCAGGGTCAAGTGTTTGACTAATGGTTCAAATGCATCTGTATCAGAATTTTGGTTCAGATCAAGAGTGTACTTCTGAACTGAGCCTCAAAGCACATAAACTGATACATGTCACACTACTTGCTAAAGCAGATATAGCGGTTAGTTCCTAGGCTCTTTGTTTTCCCCCATTTTTAACATAGGGGGCATTTTATACTTCCTAGTCTTGGTAACTCTACCTGAGATTTCGTCAGCCAGCTGCTTCAGTATCCAAGGGTGAAACTCAGCTCTGAGCTAATCTGAGTACGTACTACTCGCCTAAATATATTCTGACTCGTTTCTTCCGTATTTGTACTGACGTCTTGCTCTTGAAGGGACTGTGTGGGTAACAGCACTCAGTGAGATAAGAGCATTTGCTATTCTAATAATAGAGCAGTGGAGAACAAAACAAAGAATATAATGCTTTCTGCTTCTTTGGAACATGTAACCCAGTTTTATGTAATCATGAAGTGGCCTGCAGGCACAGGTTTCCCAGTGTGGAGGAAAGGTTTTCAGCGCTCTCATCACCACTAGCCAGTGCAGCACACATTCCCACATCACATAACGTGGTCAAGGTCTTGTGACTGTACAGCCTGCCTGCCCCTAGTCCTGTCATGCCCGACTGTCTCTGAACAAGTAGGGCCAAACTGGCTCATTTCAAGGAAGTACTGGTATACTAGTAAAATTAGTGGGAATAAGTCTATTTTAAAAACATGTTCCATGCCATATGATACCACTGGGGATAATAAAATCTGTGAATTTCCTTCCTGGCCACTGTTCAGTTGCTATAAAGTATCACGTTGTAGTTTCTCTCAAGAAAGAAGTCCATTCATTCAAGTCTGTGTGTAAGAGCAAATGAACAAAACCAGAGGCATTCAGTAGGTCAGTGCTGAGGTGTCACTGTGATCACTGTTCAAAGGTTATAATCTACTAACAGGGAGCACATCGTGGAACTTGGGCTATTAATTAGGGAAATGTTTTGTTATGCAGTGTGTAACTGTTATTAATGTGTATCAGGCATGGTTGAACAAGAAAGCTGGCTGGTAATGATGGCTGGGGTCTGCTTTTAGACTAACACCCTCTGAATTGCCCTTTCATCTTCCGAATTGCCCGTCTTGAGATCTGGTCTGCCCTTTCTGACATTCACACTGCTCACAACACTCTTTGTAGGCTTTAAGACAGGAAAAGTATGTAATAGTCATTCTCTGAAGCTCACATTGGAGCTTCATGAGCAGAGCCTTGTGGTGTGTTAGTCAAAGCCAAACACCTTAAAAAACAATGGTAAAACTGCTGTTGACCTAAATGGGGCCAGGATTTAATTTTGTGTGCATGGAGTCTAATTCACTTTACTTTAGTAGAGCTTCATAAGTAACGGTGCAGATGGGTCCAGTTGCAGGGTCCTGTCTTTTTCTAGGACATATCTAACAATGAATACTACAGAAACAGATAAGAAAGACTTAATGGAAGCATGTAGTGGAAACTTCAGAGATATGCTACATCTGGGTAAAATGGGAGTTACTCTTTCTAGGCCTCTCTGCAGCAACAGGAAAGTTCAGAGATCCAGATCTCCTTTCCTGGCCCTGAACCATGGATAGCTCCAGTGAAATCCATGGAGTGCTGCCGGACTCAAACCAGTGTAAAGGAAATAAGGAATGGGTCTGGGAAAGTCTAGCAAATAACCTGTTCCTGTTACTGGAAGCTTCATGCAAGTCTTGGCCTAATATAGTCTGTCCATACATGAGAGTTAGGTGAATAAAGGTTAACATCTGTTTATAAAAAAGGCCAAGGAAATGTTCAAGGGTCTGAGATTTCTTAAAAGCAGACAGGAAGGAATATGATTACTTAGAGCTTACACTTGACCTGGTGTATTACTTGGACTTTCTGCAGAAATAAAACGGGGCAAACTACTTTGCTTCAGCATACTGAAATGCACTGTGTTTAATTCAATGCCCGCTGGATGGATTGTGTTCCCCTTGGCAATCTCATGTACACAGAAGAAATCAGGGAGACCTGAAATATGTATATTTAAGAGTACTTTCAAACTTCTAAAGTGAAGTCTTTATTATTATTACCAAGACTATTACATTATTTGACAAATGGTGTTGACATTACCTGTCTGGCTATAAAATAATTGTTAATTCTTGTAATATTTATATTACAAGATTTATATTTAATTTTTTACTGTAAAAGAATCCAAACAACTTTGTAAATCAAGTCGATGTTGCAGATGTTTACACTTATACATCATTTTTGATACCA